TGTCCGCCATCTTGGATTTACAAATAAGTGCTATATTCGTAATGAGCACCCCCAAATACCTCGAAAACGCTACCCAACTTGCCATTATTCAAAAAATCGTGTCCGCCATCTTGGATCTAGAAATGCGTGCCCTATTCGTATTGACCATCCTCAAATACCTCGAAAAGGATACCCATATTGCATTTTTTCGAATAATCGTGTCCGCCATCTTGGATTTACAAATAAGTGCCATATTCGTAATGAGCACACCCAGATACCTCGAAAACGATACCCAACTCGCCCTTATTCGAAAAATCGTGCCCGCCATTTTGGATTTAGAAATGAGTGCCATATTCGTAATGAGCATTCCCGTATACCTCGAATAGGATACCCATATAGCATTTTTTTGAGAAATCGTGTCCGCCATCTTGGATTTACAAATAAGAACCATATTCGTAATGAGCACACCCAGATACTTCGAAAACGATACCCAACTTGCCATTATTTGAAAAATCTTGTCCGCCATCTTGGATTTAGAAATAAGTGCCATATTCGTATTAAGCATTCCCAAATACCTCGAAAAGGATACCCATATTGCATTTTTTTTGAAAAATCGTGTCCGCTACCTTGGATTTACAAATAAGTTCTATATTCGTAATGAGCACCCCCAAATACCTCGAAAACGATACCCAACTTGCCATTATTCGAAAAATCGTGTCCGCCATCTTGGATTTACAAATAAGTTCTATATTCGTTATGAGCACCCCCAAATATCTAGAAAACGATACCCAACTTGCCGTTATTTGAGAAATCGTCCCCTCCATTTTGCATTTGGAAATGCGAAAAGTCGTGTCAGCCATCATGTATTCAGATATAAATGCCATTTCCAGAACCATCTTGGATTTAGAAATTAATGCCACATTCTCAATAAGCACTCCCAAACCACTCGAAAACGTCTATGATCTACTATGTCGATTATGTCTGTAGGCTCCTAATCGACATTGTCGTTCGACAATGTCGATCGTATCTGTAGGCACCTTAAGCGATTTTTTCTTTTGACATTATTACAAAACCTTTATAAAAGTTATAGGGAATACTGAGCGTATTTTAATGACATACCTAACTTATGTTGGAAGAAATAAAATTTTCATTACAAAATTGAGGATATAATTATTAATACAAAGATCGAACACTCATAAAAAATTCCTTCGATCCGGTCGGATTCGAACCGACGTCTTCTTGCATACCGTGCCAGACGCTATACCAACTAAGCCACGGAACGAACCAACGGACCTCACGAATTCTTCTATGTGCTTGCGACGTGTCTTTATTTTAATTCACTTTTTTGAGATTTCATCGTACGTGGTTCAAATTAGGTGGTTTTGGTGGCGTTTGTGTTACCACCTTAACTTAAAACCGCCACCAAATTTTAAATTGTTATGATATCTTTTAATATAATGTTCACTTTCGAAAATTGTTTAAAACTATTATGTTTTATTTGTCCCAATAAACTTAAGAAAGATAGTATTATTCATAATTTTTCAGATAACGTAAAATTACTTTATCTATTTGTAGGTACTTGAGAGATCTATTAAATTTGTACTTCACTTAAATTAACGGTGATATCATTTAATCAATTTTGTTCAGAATGTCAAACACGAAAAATTAGTTCATAGTCGCTTTCATTGGCAGTTGAATAACTACGATACATTACACCAGGAACGTTTTCTAAAGATTGTAGAAACTCAAATGTTTACCATGATGCGGTGGGTTTATCCAGACATTGAGGCTTGATGCAAAATAAGGTACAGAGTGCTAATTTAGAGTTTTTCAAATAACCTGAAGAAATAACACTTAATACAATTATAACGAACTAGTGGAGTAATTTCACAAAAAAAAATTGAATATCATAGTGGCGAAACATCCTGACATTCAATAAAACTTATTTACAACCTGAAGAAAATTCATGTTACCAGGAAAAGGCTTCAAATCCTAAAGAATGAGCCAGTCTTTTTCTACGATTTCGTAATTTTCTACAGATTTAATTTTAATATTACCTATTACTGGCAGGTTTTAATACCAGACAACAGAATCAATGTCGGTAATGTCGTACCCAAACGACACTGATTGATCTGTAGTTGTCTTTAATAATCGTCCAACTCCGGGGCACCCTTGCCATGGCCACACGCAATAATCGCGGGTGCCCCGAATGGAGTAGGGGGATTTCTAAAGACAACTACAGAGTTGCTTAGTTGGTATAGCGTCTGGCACGGTATGCAAGAAGACGGTTCGAATCCGACCGGATCGAAGGATTTTTTTCTGAGTGTTCGATCTTTGTATTAATAATTATAACAAACTAGTGGAGTAATTTCACAAAAAATAATTGAATATCAATTCAATAAAAATTCAATTATTATTGTATGATAAATCTTCTGAAGTTCTTGCCCTAAACTCATTTTACGTCTAATTAAACTATAAAAAATAAATCATTAATATTTCTTCACTTTACACCTGGTTTCTCAGCCTGGACTCGCAAAATTTACGCATGAGATATTCACCGATAAAATATGAATCAAGTTACAACGAATTTGAAATGTGCGATTTTTGGAATTGTTCTTATTCTTTTGTTAACAGGGACATGTTGTGATTTTAGGGGTAAAAAAACGGTGTACATAGTTATGAGACATAATCTCTAGCGTGGGAGAATAATTTACGCAATAATGCGATTTAAGAAATCGTAAATCATCTTGATTTTCTTAAATACAATGCAAAATACTTACCAGGATCTATTCTGCCATAGCCGATGACAAAGGCTATGCGGTTTTCAAATGTTGACATGTTTCCTGATGGTAAATTTATTATGTTTATGTTTTCTGCAAAAAATAAACATTTTCATTCAAATAATTGTAACTTTTTCATTGAAAACCGACTCTAAAGGTTTGGTTATCGGCTGACTTCTTGGAGAGAATAGGATTGCTGCGGACTCCTTTGTACATTTTATACTTTTTTTGGTTGTCATGGTGACGGTGTTATGACTTATTCGTTAATGTATTGTGTCAAGTGAAAAGTCGGCTTTTATTTGCGGAAAATACTTTTTTAATTTGTGATAGCCGAAACGAACCCGGACCAGCATCTTCGGCATCAGGGACCACCTCGAGAGTATACCCTTTCAAACAAAAAAAAATATTTCAAAATCGGTCCACAATTAATGGAGAAATCGGTATGAACACTGACATGCCAATAAACTTTGAGGATGTTCCTCGATTTCCCTGAGGAAACCCTCATCAGGATCTGACTTGGCGACAATGGGATCACCACGAGAGTGCACTCTTTCATACGAAAAAAAAAATTTCAAAATCGGTCCACAATTGACGGAGAAATCTGAAAACATACATACATTATAATTAAATAATCATTATAATATTTATTTATTTATGTGAAATTTCTTTGACTTGCAGGTTACATCACTTTTTTTCATCATTAGAGAGTCGTATTTCTAATGATATCGCGCCATTGTGCCATTACTGTTTAAATATTTCTACGCATAAACGTGATACTCAATTGAATTTTTATATACATATAATAACGAATTTCGTAACCGATTGCTTCACAGCTACAATTTTTTAATCGACTTCAAAAAGTAAAAAATTATGAATATGACCGTAGTGTGGACGGTTTAGGATGCAGGTCGATTCAGAACCTTACGATAACTCAGTTGTCGACCGATTGATTTCTTTTCATTTTTATTCACAACAGCCGAATCAAACGGCAAACTGTCGTATTCGAAACCGAACCGAAATGACGCCACACCCGCATGATTTTCTTGACCGGCAAAGGTTACAAACGTTATTCAAAACACAATTATCGAATGAAAGTTATCGAACGTCCTATTGTTTACAAAGCAAGAATATAATATGGAAATCTCTTAATAGTATATATAAAGTCTGGATTTTGTTCAATTTTATTAATTTATTTTAATGCAAGACTAATGTATTCCTATATTTTATCTATTTCACCGACTAGCTTCGTAAACGCTGTTGGATAACGATATCGTATCCGAATCCGAAAGTTCTGAAAAGCTCGGAAAGTGCTCTTCGGTTAAAATATCATAGAGTTCTGAATCCAGGTCCAGATGTGATGTGAGTCGAGAAACCGACAAGCGCGCGGTAACGCGAGTTGGGTGTTTGGCTGTATTTGTCGAATAAACAAATAAGGCAAATACGTTGTCACAGATGCTATCTACATACATACATATACTGATTGTTTGGTGTACATATATCAGATACGCTAATACAAACAGCCATGTGAAATGCCATCATAAAATATTTGCAATAAAAAACGCTGTTTAGGTAAAAATATCGCATGTACATTAAGTCAATGGTCATGGATCGATATGTTCGGCGTCAGTGTTAATTAAAGAATGGAAATTTGATACTTACTAGATAAGGTGATCTTATTCTTAAGCCTTATTATTGCTATGTCATTTATCACCAACTCATTGTCATATTTAGGATGGGTCTATAAAAAAAGGACACTATATTTTAAACATTATCAAGTGACCAATCGAATAAGCCGCGCCTAGTGGTAAACGAGATATCTACCCATAAAGGTGGTTTTCCAAAGGCGAGGCGAAAATTGGCCGGCCAATTTCCACCAAAAATCGCAATTATAGCTCACGCGAGCTCGTGCCAGCCATCGCGGTCTCGCGCAAGCCTTCGCGGACTAGCGCTGTGATTGTGGACAGTGAAGATTCAGAGCTGTTCAATTCATCTAGCGATTTATACGCTGCAGAAGTAACATGTCCCGTAAATTTAAAATAAAATTATTATTAGAATAGAATAGAATAGAATAGAATATATTTATTTGCCAGAATACAGTATATTACAGATCTTGCTTTTGAATAGGTACAGTGTACTCAACCTGCAAGCAGGTGTGCAAATATTATAAAATTTAAACAGGTCTCTATTATTACTACATACTTTAAAAACTTATTAAAAATATGTCAATTTATATTAATGACCATTACTTGTAGCACAATCTAAATATTGCTTATTACTATAAAAGCAATGTGTCAAAAGCCATTTTGTCAATTGTGATTTAAATTTAGGTCCTTGTAGTAACTTAATATCCCATGGTAAATGATTAAATATTTGTATAGACATGTTGAACGAGTTATTCTCATATATTCCTTTATGGCAGCGAGGTTTAAATAATTGGTGCATAATTTTACGTCTTGTTTGTCTTTGAGTGATTTGACCGTGCGTTTTATAATGTTGAGGGTGATTCTTTACGAATATACATATATCCTTAATGTACATGCATGGCAAAGGCAGTATGTTTAAGTTTTGGAACAAAGGTTTACAACTATCATTTGACCACGCTCCGCAGATCGCCCGAATACACTTCTTCTGCACCTTGAAGGCCTTTTCCAGAGCTACTGAGTTGCCCCATAATACGATACCGTAACTAAGCACAGATGAAACGTAGCCGTGATAGGCCGTTAGTGCAGCTTCCTGAGAGACGGTTTGCCTTAACCTTCGGAGAGCGTAAACAAATCTATTTAGTTTTGCACATATTTGATCGATATGTTCCTTCCAATTTAGATGCTTATCGATGGTCAGCCCGAGAAATTTAAATGCGTCTACATTGTCCAAAGTAACCGAATTATATTGAATTTGTATTGGAATGGGATTTGAGTTGTATGATCATAACTTTAGTTTTACTTAGATTAATTTTCAAGTCATTATTTTCCATCCAATTCATTACATCTGAAAATGCTTTATTTATGTCCATGTTGAATGTCGATTTGTTTTCGCATTTTATTACAAGTGTTGTATCGTCGGCAAATTGTATACAATTGTGATCAATAGCATGTGGAAGGTCGTTAATGTACAGAAGGAACAATAATGGACCTAGGACGCTACCTTGGGGAATTCCAGCATTAGTTGTTTTACCGTGTGATCTAAAGGTTTGTTTTTTTATTATGCTATTATATTTGTTTTTTCTGAGTCCGTCTATTTCTGTGTATTGTGTTCTATTTTTTAAGTAGCTTTCTAACCAATGAATGGCTGTTCCCCGAATACCGTAAAAGTCAAGCTTTTGTAAGAGTTTGGAATGATTGACAAAGTCGAAGGCTTTACTCATATCCAGAAAAACTGACATCACAGGCGTAGAGACGTTCATGCTTTCCGTTATAATGCGCGAGAATTCAAAACATGCAAGAGTTGTTGAGCTGTGTTTTCGAAATCCAAATTGAGAATGGTTTAAAATTTTATGTTTGTCTAAAAATGAGTTGAGTCTGGTATGTAGAGCTCTTTCAAATATTTTGGATAGAGTAGGGATTAATGTAATTGGCCTATAATTACTGGGGGTCTCTTTATCGCCTTTCTTATAAAGGGGTTTGACAACACAAGTTTTTAATTGTTCTGGAAAAAGACCTTCGGCAAAGGATAAATTTATTATGTGTGCAAGTGGATAACAGATATAAGGGGCGCTTAACTTAAGCATTTTTGTAGTTATACTGTCGTAACCACTGGATTTTGTGTTTTTTAAAGACATAATTATATTATAAATTTCCTTTTCGTTTACCGGTTTCAAAAATATTGTATGAGAATTTTTATTAAGTGAATTATGTGTAAATGTCAATTGGTTTTGGGTCAAGTTATCTTTGTTTGTCAACTTTATAAAATAATCATTAAAAATATTACAAATGTCTACTGGATTTGAGTATGTCTTATCATTATGTCGTATGTGTTTAATGTCATTATTGTGGATGTTATTAGATATTGTATATGAAATGGTATTCCATGTCGCTTTACATTTGTTTTTATTATTCTGTATGTAAATATTATTATTTATTTTACGAGCAATCGAAATACACTTTTTTAAGATACTATTATATGTTCTAAAGTTATTTACGTTTTTTTGTTTGTTAGTTGCTGATGTTCTTTGTTTTAAATATAGTAATCTTTTTGTTTTGCAACATTTTTTAAGACCTTTTGTGAGCCAGAGTATTTTTTTACGCCTGTTGTTCATTTTAATTCTTAATATTGGAAAACAGAGCTCGTAAAATAGACATATTAAGTCATAAAAGTAGTCGAAAGCCAGAGTTAAATTGTCCGAGTCTAAAACTTCAGAAAAGGAAAGTGCCGAAACACATTCGCAGAACTTCTTTATATTTTCGGTGCTATAGTCGCGCCGCTGTTCATACCAAGTGGTGATAGCTTTCCTTTTCCCTATGCTTAAGGTAATCGTCTGCGCAGTTTCGTGGTCTGAGATAGAGATATATTAAGTATGTTAGCGGAAGAAGAATCAAATAAAATCATCTTTCTTGAAATCCGCGAGATCAGCGAGCTCACGCGAGTTCTCGCGAGACCGTGCGGGCACTCGCGAGATCGCGTGAGCCTGTGCGAGAAATCGTGCAGAGGATACTCTGTGTGAAAAGTACTTACCTTAGCTTTTATATTGAAAAATTGTAAACTTATCACGAATGTGCACTTTTATATACTAAATCCATGACTTTTATAAAACGAATTACTGCGTCCTGCTGCGCCAATCCCTCCGGTGCGAGACGCGAGCATTCAGTCTAGGCGTGTGTGTAGGTGATAAAGAAAGGAGTTGCGCAATCCAACAGGTTTATTTATTTATTTATTAATTATTTATTTAGGTTGTTGCCTGTTCGAAAGTCACCCGCTCGCGCACCCCACCTCGAGGCCCTATATTGTCCGCGTGGACGCGACTTTCGCAAAATTATTCTTTCATAATATTAAATGTGTATGAAAATATTAGAATTTAACATTGACTTACAATTATATGGACGTCGGGTCCGCGCTAAAAAGTGTCCGAACTTATAGGGCGTTAAAATCGTATACAGAGCGTCATTCACGCTTTAGTCTTCGTTTGTTTGACTGACAGCGAAGCAAGCAAAATTAGACAGTACTGCGATGACATTACAATTGAAATTCAACGTTTTAGCTTTTTCATATTCCTTTACATGTGACTACGTTTAAATAGGTTGACTTGGGAAATTTTTTTCGTGGTTTTTGTATTAGACCCGTCGTCCATTTATTTGTAAGTCAATGGAATTTAAGCTTATTTTATTAATGTACTGTTATTTACATATCATAAATATTTCACATGTCTATGTAGTTGTATGTACACTTCCTATTATGTCGGTTTTCTTATCTGTTTATTTATTTATTGTTGTTAGTGGCTCACTCGCCACGGGCTTGCTGAAAGTCTGCGCCACGAAACGATTTTAGAAAAACCGTTTGTGGCTGAAGCTGAGCAAGCCCCGATTGCACCAGCCGCGACACGCGTGGTGAATTAGGTACTGCATAATGATGTCAATTGTTTTAATTTTTTTTTTATTATTATTGTTCCTCTGTTTATATGCGTGTCTGTGCTTGTGCAATAAACAGTTTTTCTTTCTGACTTTCTTTCTTCTATGTAGGCAACAATACGGTTCAATATTGTTACGTCAACAAAGATTTAAATCCTCGCCTCGGCTAGGAGAATTTTGCCATACACATTTCAATCCTCGTCTCGCCTCGTCTCGTCTCGCCTCGCCGGTAGAAAACCACCTTAACAGTTGCAGGGCCACTCTAAGCTTTACATTGCAAAGATCTGATGGGCACTGCCACTGCGCCAGTCACCCTAATTGAGACATAAGTTGACAAGTCTCATGTGCCTGTAATTTCTCTGTGATTTATTCATTCCTTGTAAGCTCTGAGTCGTACTTCAACTGTTATGGACAGGCGTGTCGCTTACCATCAGGCGCACGGCGTGTTCGTCCCGTCACTTAAATTTTATTAAAATAATCTGAAAATAAGAAAACGACTCACGACGACATCATTCGTTGTAATGCGGGTTGCCGTGTCGTCCTTCATGTTCAGCGAGCCGAGCATTACAATCATACTGTTGGCCCTGTAGTCGGAGTCATACCAGCAGTGTGCCGCTGTTACCAAGCGATTTCTTGATATCAAGGAAGCCGAACAAATAGAGTTTTCACCGCCAATAAATAAAATTAAGCATGCCTGGAAAATAAAACCATACATTTGTAGCAGTAAAGCTCCTTGTGAAAGAGTGTCCACGAAAATACTGCCACCTTAAACATTTCTGCCGCCAAGCAATAATACGAGCATTAATGTGTTTCGGTTTAGGATGGTAAGGGTGCTAGGGGTCGATTCAGAACCTTACGATAACTCATTTGTCGTACGATTTCTTTTCATTTTTATTCACAATAATCGAATCGAAAGTCAAACTGTCGTATTCGAAACCGAACCCAAATGACGTCAATTCATATTACTCGAGCTTCTCGACCGGCAAAGGCTACAAACTGCCTCCGCGGCTGAATGGTTACCATGCTACATCAATTTCTCTCGTGAGTTTGGCTGTAGTTTGTGATTGTCTATGTGTGTGCCCATGGCATCCGCGATACGGGGTTTCCCAAGTGCGGGACTATGAGTCATATACATGAGATTATTATAGATTATTTTAAATAAAATCTGGTTTTGTTCAATTTTATCAATATATTTTAATGCATTTCTACATTTTAAGCCATTAAAGTCTTAAAAATGTATTTAAAAGGATTTTCATTTTTGTTATAATCTATTTCACCGACTGGCTTCGTAAACGCTGTTCGTATCCGAATCCGAAAGTTCTGAATAGCACGGAAAGTGCTCTTCGATTCGAGAACGATATTCAATCGAAAGATTCGGTTAAAATATCGAAGAGTTCTGAGTCGGGGTGCTAGTGAAATTACAGGCATATGGGACTTGTCAACTTATGTCTCAGGGTGACGGACGATGTGGCGGTGCACTTAAGACCTTTGCGTCTCATTTGCCACCAGGCGCACGACTTGTTCGTCCCGTCACTTGCTATTATAAAAAACATAGGAGCGCGGCTTATACAGGGTGTAAATTTGAGACGGGGCAGCAAGCCCAGTTACCTTAGTCGTTGTAGTTACAGGAAAACCGTTCTAGAAGACTATCCATGAATTTTGAAGATATTTTGATTGGCATTCAAAAATGGTACAGCCAGCAAGATAAAAGGCATTTTCTACAAATTTTTTTTTATGCCGTTCGATCCGGTCTCTGGTAAGGATCAATAGTCTCTATGGGACCAACAGAGGTAAGAGTACTCATTTTTTTATTCACATGTAAGTTGCATTTCATCTCCATCTCACCTGATGGAAAGTGACGATAAGGTCGACGATGGAGCATTCACACCTAAATAATGCCTATTCACTCTCGCCTTGAAAAGGTCCAACTTATAACGTTCAGGGTACAATTCTGCAGACAGGGAATTCCACTCCATAGTCGTTCGCCATATATGTGTGGATGCGTACCGCTTTGTGCGAATCTTTAGAATATCCACAACATAGGGGTGGAACCCTTGCCTACGCCTATTCCCCCGATTGTGGAAAGGGGAAGGTGGAATTAAATCGTGTAAATACATCGCACACTCACGGTAATATATATTGTAAAATACCGATAAGTAAGCAACTTTACGGCGGTGTTCAAGGCTCTGCAGCTTTGTCTCTACTAATTCCGAGTCACCTATATGCCTCTTGGCACGCTTGTCAATTGAATTCAAGGTGGCCAGGTGGTATGTACTCAGAGTGTGTAGAGTCATTCCAAAGGTGGCAGCAGTACTCCATGCACGACCGGACTTGTGCTTTATACAGCTGAAGCAACTGTCCCGGTGTGAAGTAACGCCTCACCTTGGAAAGGATGTCAAGCTTCTTGGCAGCATTTTTGGCCTGGATTCAATGTATCTGTCGAAGTTCAGATTGGACGACAGGTCCGTTCCAAGTAGATGGAGGCGGTCGGCTACCGGTATGGATATATCACGGAAAGCCGGAGTCTGCTTAAAGGGACTTTGTTTTGTGGAGAATAGACATGCCTGCGTTTTGGTAGCGTTAAATTTGACAAGATTGGCATCGCCCCAATCGGAGACTGCCTTGAGTGTCAAATCTAAACGGCTAACCATGGACCCTCGACAAGACTGGATTTCCTCTCCACTGACCCTTGCATTGGTCAAGTACCTATCTACAACTGTGCTGTCGTCAGCATACACAACTCAGGCGCACAGTTACGTAGGACTACCGCTGGAATTCCATCTGGCTCGCTAGTTTTATTCTCGTCAAGATTCCGTAAAGTTCTAAGTACCTCTTTTTGTCGTATGCGAACTGGCGCTATAGTGCAGCCAGCCTGAGGTAAGGTAGGTGGTAGGTTCCCTACAGCATCCAGACGCGAACTGTGCAAAGAGATTCGCCTTCTCTTCTGCAGTATAGGTCAGCGTGCCATCCGGCCTCATCAGAGGTGACAAAGATAGGTGATAAAAGTTATTTTGGACCGCTTTCTCCAGGGACCAAAAGGATTTGCTACCTGCTGGATAAGAGGCAAGCTTGGCCCCTATGCGGCGCACGTGGTCGAAATTTGGCCCTACGTAACACGCTTTTGCACTTCTTGGCGGCTATATTAAAAGCTTTCTTCAAAGCTTTGCGCAGTCGAGCATCTGCCCATGCCTGGTACGCGGACTGTGTTTGTGCTTCAGCACGACTGCAGTGAGTGTTAAACCATGGATGAGTTTGGGGTCCATTGGGTATATCGGAGTATGGTATGTAATACTCCATACCCAAACGCAAGACTTCGACTACAGCATCAGCACAGCTCGACGAGTTTTCTGAAGTAAAGCAAACCTGGTAGCTGTAAAGGTACTAACTGGGTGATAAATCTGTAATAGATTTCTCATAGATGGCGCTACGACTAAAAAGTCGTTGAAAGACCAAGTACAAAGACACGACGCAAGCACATAGAAAAATTCGTGAGGTCCGTTGGTTCGTTCCGTGGCTTAGTTGGTATAGCGTCTGGCACGGTATGCAAGAAGACGTCGGTTCGAATCCGACCGGATCGAAGGAATTTTTTCTGAGTGTTCGATCTTTGTATTAATAATTATAACAAACTAGTGGAGTAATTTCACAAAAAATAATTGAATATCAATTCAATAAAAAGTTAATTAAAGGAAACCTGCCAAGGATATGACGCAAATAAATGGCGCATTTCATCCCTTTCGCATTCATCTGCTAACCTGTATCGCCACACTCGTCTCAGACCACTAAGGCCCTGATCGGGTGGGGAGTATACGGATACAGTTACCTAGTGGGGTATCCACAACCAACAGAGTATCGGTCCGGATCAGTTGTCAGCAGAAGGTCCAAGCAATTAGCCGTATGAGATTCAACATCTGGTATCCTTGTGACGCCACTGATAAGCTGGAATAGGCTTAGCGTTAACGCAAGTTTACGCGTCTCTCTCCCAGCATGATCGGTCATCTGGCATGGGAACAACCATTCTTGATGGTGGGCATTAAAGCCACCAGAATGACTAGTTACTATGCTGAATCTCATCAGAAGTCTTACTCAGATATTGGAACAGCTTGGTTGTCTCCTGAACTCCATTGTGCGATCGGTAAACACAGCAGTACACTATTTGTGTAACTCCTGTGCTTACTAGAAGCCACAAAACAGAAAAACTCGCTGCCTCAAGGTTCTTCAGACGCTTGACGCAGATGTCATCACGAACGTACACACAGACTCCGGCACGAGGTAGAAACCTATGCTCCAGAGTATACCCGGGGTAGCTGAGGTACGCCGTATCAGTCGGACATCTGATCTGCGTCTCGGTGAGGAACAGCAGCTGCGGTTTATCGGTTTCAAGATGATGGTGGACCGAATCAAGAGTTGAGTGCAGACCTCGGATGTTAGTGAGGTGCATTTTTAGTTGGAGGACGTGCAACCGCTGTGTAAACTTGTTACCGTTTCTGTTTTTCATTTTATTGTTTTAGGGAAGTGCATAGGCCGGAGGAAGGCATTGAACGAGTCACTTCGTCGTGTTCAACCAAGCAGCAAAGCCCACACCGCCACACGAGGGTACAATCGATTTGGAGACCGCGGGGACGCCTGAACCCCCCCGGAGATAGCCACCTGGTCCTCCCCTCGAGTCGCCAACCGGCAAGGAGGAGCATTCCGGGATTTTTCGTTGGGTGGCGGGGCAGTCTTTCACGGGTGGCTTTCCCGCTACTTGGGCACCCAACTTTCCACGGTCGGCCAGCGGTGCACCGTGCTTCGGATCCCGCAAGCCTCCAGAACCGAGTGCTCAGTGTGGCAGTACAAGCAGCTACAACTCGTAAGACGTAATGCAGCTGTTCAGACTCGACCTCCTAATGGCAACTCCCGAACACGAGTCGGAACTTATTGACAACCATTTGGCAACTCGACTGCGTCGGGAGGGTGGTGACTAGCTACGGCCGAAGCCTACCACCAGTAGTTGTTGCTCTTTAGCACCACACAGGGGTCACCTGTAGGCTCTTGACGGTAAACCAACGGAAGCGAGCAACATCAACCTCCAAAGCCAAGATATATTAAACGTTAGTATAGTACGTTTATTGCCCGTGATCCAACTGCGTAGTCCAACTAGATGGACCAGGGGCTAAAAATTTTGCCCTTGGTCCAACTAGTTGGACTACGAGCAATATTATATGGGCATTGGACCTACTGATCGGTTAGTACAGTTTGGTAGAAAGCTGGAAAGGACGTTACGTTTGACGTCACCGTCAATATTAATAATGTTACTGGTTCTAAGCTAACTACAGTTGTTCTCTAGGACGATCCCTGTGACAGTTCATAAAAAATCACACGATATAATCTTTTACTACCGTGCATTGTTTAATGTATTTTAAGAATTATGTTTGTAAGTATCGCTTTTAAGTGAAAATATTATGCGTGCAGTCACTGAAGAGCTTCAAAAATTTATTTTCTGTAATCCTTATGGAAATTGGACTTATATCTGAATATGTGATGGCGGACACGACTTTTCGCATTTCTAAATCCAAGATGGCGGGCACGATTTTTCGAATAACGGCAAGGTAGGTATCGTTTTCGAGGTATTTGGAGGTGCTCATTATGAATATAGCACTTGTTTGTAAATCCAAGATGGCGGACACGATTTTTCAATAAAATGCAATACGAGTATCCTTTTCGAGGTATTTTGGGATGTTCATTACGAATATGGCACTCTTGGATTCAGAAATAAGTGCGATATTCGTAATTAGCTCCCCCAAATAATCATGTACTTACCAATTTCGTCAAACGTAACGTCCTTTCCAGCTTTCTACCAAACTGTACTAACCGATCAGTAGGTCCAATGCCCATACAATATTGCCCGTAGTCCAACTAGTTGGACTACGCAGTTTGACCACGGGCAATAAACGATTTAGTAATCAGTTATTCTAGGTAGTGCTTTTGTTGTTTTTCTATCGTGAAAATTGTTAGGATTCATGTTTTCACACTTTATACTAATCAGTGTATATCCTTAAATTTACTATATATTTTTTTCCAAAGTGATTGCTTCAATACTTTCATTCAAAGCCATTGAGGTTGTATTGACTCTTAAAGCACTTCCATTATTTTTCTTCCAAGGATATGAAAATGTAGCGTTCCAGATAATAAGTAATAAGGACCAGGATCTCGGGTCCGACTACCTATTTACAGCCTTTGGAGTCGAAACCCTGGGCCCGTGGGGTCCCAGTGCCAGTCTGTACAAAATTTCATCCAAAGAATTAATAGATTGTCTGGGAAACCCAAGGGCCGGCCGGCAGCTACCTTGCTCAACGCATTTACATAGCAATACAAAGGGGGAACGCTGCTAGCATTTTGGGCACCTTGCCGCAGGGACCCAATTTTATTAATATAATTTAAAAATCCTAGTTTTACTTTCTAGTATTTAAGTTTTTATTGTCTTTTTTCCTTACCTGTATTATTATCAAATTATAAATACACCATGTTCCAGATAAGCTGTGGGAAGGTTCATAAATGTATGATGAGATACTCACAGCGAATGGAAAATCTCCAATGCGGGAAAAATTGCCGGGGACCGCTAACCGACATTCGCTTTTCGACTTGCCATTATTTCTACATTTTAGTTTGTTTTGCATTATTTTCTTTGCAAGTGGGATCCCAATTAATTTATGGTAATGTCTTGCAGTATCCAGTATTGAAGACATATTGTGTGCTTGTGGCTTGATTTTATCGCAGTCACGTTGAATATTTTGATGTTTATCGATATGTGATGGAAAATTATCAGGTTTTGTGTCTACATTTAGTTTTTTTGCCAAGTGCCTTGGTTCTTGATCCCAATTTCTATTACGTGTAATATTCAATTCCAATTTTTCACTTACGCCAAAATTTTCAATTGCTTTCCATTTAGAACTCAGTGTTTTGTGGATTGGACTTTCAATCCCTTGCAGTTTCTTTGTGTTTATATTTCTTATTGAATACATTTTGGTTTCCGTTTTTATGTTAATATTTGAACTTGAAATAATGGTTTTTGATATCCTATCACTTTCCGAACACAAACCCACATGTCCTAAAGTCAAAGTTACTATTACTAAGGTATGGTAAATGTATTTTCTCATTTTATGTTTAGGTGCATCTTAATTCGTGTGATACTTAACTTACTATCACATAGTTTAAAGTCTCCTGTAACATATTTAATTAGGTATTAGATAAAATTTGTCGTTTTGTAAAGCATATTAGGTAAACAATGAACCGTTTTCTGTTTATTACAATAGTGTTGTAATTCAAAATATGTGAAATCCAAGATTCTTTCATTATTGAACGTACGCGGTAAAAATGGATTACTTAGAAAACGACAAAATTCTTTTTATGAAGACAAATTTATTAAATCCAACAAAACGATAGACGCTAGAGAATAATTACTTGATATTAGTAAAAAAACGTCTCAAAAGTGTATTTTAGGTATAAGACAGAAATACAGGATGGCCCATAGTAACTTGCTTTTTTCAAAACACTTTTTCTCAGAGACGCAGGGACAAGTGAGAGGGGGATAACTGCTGGAGATGGGAAAAAACTGCTTATTTTTTTAAACGTTTAAACGTCAGGCTTTTTTTAAAAAAGCGTAAGCTAACAAAATCGTTTAGAAAACGTTTAAGCGCATAGACTTTTATGTTAAAAAAGCTTCCAACGTTGTGTTGATGGCGAACCGCAAGAGTAGACCACTAAAGGTTTTAAGATAAGTAAGTTTTTTTGTAAAAAACGAGTTATATTTTTATTACGACATAACTTTATTATATTAACATTTTGTTCATTGGCGTTTAAAAGCGTTCAAAAACATAAGTTGTTTAACTTTTGTAGTTGTTAACCGTTGAAATGGAAAAAACTGCTTATTTTTTTAACGTTACGTACGTTTAAAAAGCGTGCTTGTAAAAGCGCTTTTCACTCATACGCTTTTTAGTTTGACGCTTAAAAAGTCGTTTAGAAAAACGTTTAAGCGCATAGACTTTATGTTTTAAAAAGTTTGCAATGTTATGTTGAATTAATTTGTTTAGGAAACATAGATGGCGCTACTTGAAACTTAGGCACGTCGTAAAAAACGAAGTTGTTGAGCACCTATAGAACTGACCAGTTATCAACACTTACGCTTAAAATGAAAAGCATGCTTATGCGCTTATTTTAAAAAGCAGACTTTTTAAGTGCTTTTCGTTTAAACGCCCACCTCTAATAGCTGCGTTCGCGCCAATTTAGTTACCATGGAGCAGTTCACGGCACAACAGCGCGCTTTTTGTGTTCACGCCTACCGAGGATGTCTCTTTACTTCTTCTACGCGTTCGTTTGTACGAGAGGTTCGTTCACGGCCTTTGCCTCGTGGTTTGAATGTGGAACCGGTCTCTTCAAATAGTTTGACCCATATTTTAATTAAATTGACATTAGGGCAGTTTCTATTGCTATTCAAACCATATTCTAAACGGTACAAACAACGAACAATGATGTAAGCAAGCAAGCGACTGTTCTCGTAAAAGGCGCGAACACAAAAAGCGCGCTGTTGTCCCATGAACTGCTCCATGGTAACTAAATTGGCGTGAACGCAGCTATCCATCGATGCAATTCCCCCTCTCACCCGTCCCTGCGTCTCTGAGAAACAGTGATTTGAAAAAAGCACGTTACTATGGGCCATCCTGTATTTAATCCAAGAGCAAATTAATTTACTTAAGTCATAAAGCTACTCTAGATTCAACAAAATATTTATTAGTTATTAGAAATTTCTTATTATGACTTTAAAACAAAAAATAATGAAAAATTCAGAGGTACCTACTTAATTATTTGACTGAAGATTTATGTTTTCTATATTTAATTGTGTAGCGCTGGTCAACGAAGTAGTTTTGAGACGCAAACTTCCGTATAGAAAGGCGTATATTATCAAAAAGGGTAAATTTACAGGGTTATGGACCCAACTTAACTTTAACTGCCTCCGTGGCCGAACGGTTACCATGCCGGACTGCCACGCAGAGGTCCCAGGTTCGATTCCCGGGCCGGGAGAAATATTTGTATGGCCTACATTTATTTCTCTCGTAAGTTTGGGTGTAATTTGTGGTTGTCTATGTGTGCGTCCATGGCACCCGCGACACAGGGTTTCCCTAGTGCGGGGCTATGTTGAGTGTGAGCGTTATTATTATTATTATTATTAACTGTACGTCTCACTAACGTGAAAGCACACAGTTCAGTGCCAAACTTTAAAGTAGCAGAAACAGGACGGAATCGTCTCAAATACTTGAGTGCCGTTCAGTGCCAAATAAATGCTACAGCGGTAGAAAGCACTAACAACAGCGCCGTAGTCGTCTTAAACCCGCGTCAGCAGGTTTGAGGGGGCCGTTCGAGGCATCGGCCTCTTTCGGCGGGGTCGATCACCACTCGTGGAGACGAGCGGGTGTCACAATCGGGTGAGCTGCTTCAGATGGGAGTCCCTGCCGGTGGGCCGGCAAGTTTCTCAACCATCTTCAGCAGCTGGTGTCTGGTCCGATGGGGCTTCCTCGGGCCCAAGTAGGTCCCTTGGAAGCTGATTTTGGTCAGGGTGTTGGGCTCGGTGTGGTGCCAGTCCCTGTATATGGCTATACAGGGATTGTGCGACGCGCCGGAACATGGTCTTGGCCAGGCGTTCCACGAAGCTGTCTTGGCCCCTATACGCCACTCCTAGTGGTGACATTTCATCCTTCCGATACACGTGGTAGCCGGGTATCTTGAGCCGGTCCTGGGTTCTGAGGTGGGTCTCCTGGATTAAGGCCACGTCAATCTTCTTTTCGGCGAGGAGGTACTGTAGTAACCTGGTTTTCTGGGCAGAGAGTCCGTCAGCGTTCCAGGTCATGATCCTCAGGCTTGATGTCAGCGCGTGTACAGATCGGCCATCCCTCTGAGGATCGTGGGATTGGGCCTCGGTTGGCCCGGATGTCCTTCAGTACCTCCTGGAGGATTCGGATTGCCTTCGTGATAGCGGTGTCCTGCGCCCCCATTTCTGGGGGAGGGGGTTCCACTAACGTCACTGGCCTTCCTTTTATCTCCCTGGGAGGGGCGGCTATCCCTTGCGGCTAGGTGGTGGGCTTCTTGGGATTCCGTTTCTGGGGCCTCCTGGCGGTGCGTGGTACGTTCGCCCGCATCTTGCTTTGCTGTCATCGTCATCGTCGGAAGGACCTGTTCCGATGCTCGTAGTCGGGCGGCGTCACCGGTGCGGGCTATAGTGCCGGCTTTCTTGTTCCGGTTTTCGGCGCGGAAAACCGGGCATACTATGTATTGTTTCAAGCACAAATAAAAGTAATCGTTACCGCGTGCGCCTTCGGCGACATGTCACGACACCATTGACTATGAAAACGCAACGAAATGTTGCATTAAAAATATACTCTACAATTTAGAATATTAATCTGAATAGCAAAATTCTTCTGTTTTTGTCTAAGAATATATTTTCTTAAAATACACCCAAGAAATTTTGAATTCATTTAAGATTATTTAAATTTCATGTAAGACGTAAAAATGTCTTGATGTAAGTAATCTCCAATTAATTGATTAGAAATGAAACAAAATCTTGAAGTGAACGTATTTGTCTAAAAGTTAGAATAAAGTTAAGAGTAAAATTGTACTAGAAAAAGATGAGCAGTATTTTTGTAATGACGATATTTTATTACTTTTAATAAATATTCTTTCAGATTTAGCAAATATTTTGAGGAATTGCTCGTTCTTATAAATAGAAAACCTTTTTTTCTGTGTACAATTTGATTCTCTACACGTCAATAAAACCCATTAGAATATTGTAAGAATCAATTAAAGGATATGTACTTGAATCATAATCAGACAAACGTTTTGTAAGTTAGTTCTGGCCAAAACAGTCTGTATTTAAAAAAATATGAAATTATTAATTCTTTTTAATTTTTAAATGTAGATATGTATACATTGAATAATACAAATAATGCGTGAAAGGCGTGGCTTGAAAGAGGATGCATAGTGACTAGAATAGATAAATAAATAAGAAAAAAAAAGAATAGAGAAAGAAATGTTGAGGTGGTTTGGGCATGTGGAGCAGGTTGTATGGATGTAAGAAGAATTACCAAACAGATTTATGACGCGAATGTTAATGGAAGGGTTTTAAGAGTCTTATATTGACCAGATCAGTGATGTCCTCAAAAAGGCTAGGATCGGAAGTGACAAGATTTTTGTATGAAAAGGTTAGTTGATGTATGTGAGGGTCGAGAGTTGTGTCAGAATAGAGTAATGTGGCGTTCCGTGGTCTCTGCCTAGCCCTCCTGCGGGACTAAAGCGTGAGCTTATGTATGTAAATAAAAATGGAAGAAATTAATTTGCTACTCAGCGAACCCAGTGAAGGTTAACTCGTTCAAAATAGCTGCGCTTGTGTTGAATATTTTGTCATGCAGTTAATTATCTCACCCTCCCTCCGCATGAAATTAATAAAATAAATAACACAAGCGCAACTACAGTCACAAACCACCACCAGAAATCTGTACCCTCCGTGAAAAACGCGCTAACTCGACTTGTGTCAATATTCGTTTTTTTAAAGATTCGTCATTTGTGTAGAATGATGCATCTTTCTGTCTGATCATCACTCTCATCTCATCATACTCTATCTGCTCTAGAACCGAAGATAATTATCGTGTATAATGATAAGTCACCCTTTTCCAGAAAATGTAACTAATTTTTTGTGTAATGTGATATAAAT